AAATAAGTGTTGTCAATTTCTTGTTCTATTGATAAAAATTATATTATATTCTAATTTATATTGCTCTATTTTATTGTTCTATTGTTCTATTTATTTATTGCTATATTAATATCTAATTATAATTTTGGCAATTTTTTGTTCTATGCCAAAAATTTTATTCTATTATGAATTCTATTGCTCTATTCTATTGTTCTATTCATCTATTGTTGCCAACACAGGTTTAGTTATATTAAAAAAAGTAGGTGCAAAGGTATCAAAAATGAATGTTTTGCATATATGATCAGTTTGCTAAAGTCTTGCATCTACATAATTTTGAAGAATTTAGATTAGTATTAGAGTAAGTGCATGTATATAGTGAGAGGTTCTAATTTAGCAAGTTTGTTGCTAATTGAAGGTCAGCTTCATATAATGGTCAGACAGCTTTTGGTTAAAAGAGGCATGTAAATTTGGCAAGTAATTCTGATTCAAGTTTGGCTTATCCTAAATAGTCTACATTATGTTAAGACTATTACTCTAATTCTTCTAATACTGCAGTATTCCACATTACATTAAAAATTACTAAACAATTAGGTTAGAATTTACTACTATTTTGAGTTAGGTTTATTTTTTAACAATGATTTTCTATAGTCATTCATGGATGAACCTTTCATTTGCTTTATTTTAGGTAAGGTAAATCTGCTTTATTACTTGTGTGAATATACATGTTATTTATAGACTAATTTATCATTTATTTTTAGGATGCCAATATTCTATATATCTATTATTATGATTATAATGATTATAATGCTTATATGCAATATAAGTATTATAATCATTATCAGTCTTATAAGCACTGTTAGTCTCAGTATAGTAAAAGTTCTTCATAGTCAAAAGAGTGTAACTTGAAGTTGTATGACAAAGATTTTATGATAAAATCAGCTACTCATGGATTACAAGTTTTAGGTCTAACAATAGATAAATCTGTCTTTCTGATATTTTTTAATAATGCACTAAAATTTTATGATTTTGAGTAGTTATCTACTTATAAAAAGTTATATAAATACATTACATTAAAATTTACCCTTATATGATTAACATTAAGTTAGGTTAGAGTTTGGTTTAAGATAAAAATACAATAAAATATCTTAAAAAACCTTTTTGTTAGTATATTAAAGGCAGTTTCTTATAAAACCTTTTGAGAAATAAACAATTTTGAACAAAAAAGATGCTTGTTTTGTATTTTTTTGATCAGGTTATGCTTACTAGTGATATAAAAATTACAGTTTTTTAAAAATCTAGCTTGAAATTTGCAAAATATAGTAAAATTTTTAATTTTTTATGAATTATAAAACTATATATAAAAATAATTACTAGAAATATAATTTCTTGATAAAATAACATATTTTAAATACATTTAGCACACTTTAGTTTATAATCTTAGTCTGTTTTAAGTTTTTTGAAATGATGCCAAATTGGTTTATTAACACCCATGTTATAACAATGTTGTTTAAAGAATAACTTAATATTGGTTATATTGATTATAATAAGGAATAGTAAGTAAGAACTACCAATAACAAAAAAAATTTTAATCAAGTATAAGCATATATTATAATAAATAATAAAATACCCAAAAAGTTTCAAAAATAACATAATATCATCAATTTATGATTTTTTTTTTTTTTTTATTATTAAATAATGCTTAAGTAGAAACTTTATTACATATAGAAACATAAGTTCTAAATTTAAAGATTTCTAAACTACATTTGTGCTACAATTAGGCACCCAATGTGACATTACACCTCCTATTTCCTATGTTATGCTATAGCTAACTATTTCAAATTAGGTTCTAGCTAGGATAGGTTGAAGGAAACCAAATTTAAACAATTTTAATTTTATTAATTTTTTAAAAATTACTATTAAAAATAAATAAAACTTAATTTAAACATTTAGATATTTAGATAAAATTAATTTAGACAAATTTTGATATTAACAAAATTAATTTTAACTAATATTACTTTAAACTATAAAAAAAATAATAATTTTTAGACAACAAAATAAAAACAATCTAGAAAAAAAATAATAAAATTATTAAAATTTGACTAAATAACAAAATAAGAAAAACATTAATTAAAAAGAAGACTAAAAAAATAATTAACTAGACAGTTAAAAATCTGAAATACAAAAAAATAATAATAAATCAAATTGTTTATATAAATAACATAATGATAATATTTTTAAGTTAGACTATCTATTGCAATTAACTAAAATATCAAAGAAGAAAATTAATGAAATACATCAACCAATAATATGTAGTAAACAAAAAAACATTATTCTTATATTGTACAGAGATTTTAAATACTAAAATCAATTGATCAAAAAGTTCAGAGATTTAAGAAAACTTGAAGATCTTGTCTTAAAATCATGATCTTAATACCTATAAACTAAAAAGTAAAATCTTTAGGTAAATGAATATACATAACAAACACGATCTAAAGGCAGTAATAAGCAAAAAAAATGAGACGTATGTACAAACATACGATGTACGCTCGATTTATATTCGGGCCACCTGGGTGACCCGGTTTGTAACCGGTAATGATTTTTTGTACAGGCGGGTAACCCGGAGTTAAATTTTTTGACGGGTACAATCTCTACTAATATGTCATAATTTTGAATATTGGCAAAATCCCAAACCCGATCAAAATGTGCCGAAGTGTCAAATAGTACCGAAACAGTTTTGGTTACACCACTGGATGCGAGCAGATTGATCAAAATCCTTTGGGTCGGAATAGGCCGGACCAGATAAGTTTCTTCCCAAACTATGCAAAATTTACTAATAAAATAGTAGCTCACGTACTAAGTAAAATTGGCCAGATGATAATTTTGTTGTAGTATAGTTGACTCGTATTACTGCTTAATACCGGCCTAGCTCCGGGCCTATTTCGACCCTAAATTTTGGTCGATCCGCTGAAATTTTGTTGCACCATTTTTTGCGGAACACTTATTAAAAAATTCCGATATAATGCATAATGTGAACTAAATTTTGAGAAAGTTTCCAAAAGATTCCCTAGAGTAGGCCGCGCTTAGCCGATGTTTTAGTCGGCTGGCTTAGCAGTCAACTAAAATGATGTAACAAATGCTTATAGAGAATTAAAAAGGTGAAATGTACAACACCGATTGTATCTATGTACAGTACATCTAGATCAAAGATTATACGTATCTATTACATTGGTGCTGATCAATGTAAAAGCTTAAATATGACTGCATTGATTTCAATAAACTTATGATTATATATTATTATTAAAATCACAAATCATTTAGGCCTTTCATTGAACATAACTAAACTGTATTAGTTAAGAAGGTACGTAGTGTTTTTAATTCCTTAGTGGCGTATCATAAATTAGTCTAAACAATAGTATCTTAAAGCGGAAAGTGTGATTGCCTTAAATAATCATGTCATTTGTGGATGCCGATTATCCATATTTATAGAGTATCGGATGGTAAACCAATCGTCCGTCCGTACGTACATACATTAACGAAGCAGATACATCTTTTGTTAAAATGGTTGTTAAATTTTTTGAAAATTTGTCTCGGGACTTTACACAGCTTCTGAACGACGACGAAGATTACAATGTTATCATTGAGGTCGGTCAGAGGCCAAATTATCGAGTATTTAAAGCACATTCAGCAATTTTATCCCAGCGTTCAACCTATTTTCGTGACAAATTAAGGAGAACTACTGCGAATATTAGCAACACTAAATGTTTCAGTCAAAAGAATGTTTCTACTTATTATTTTGATATTATTCTTAGGTGAGTCTTATATTTTCATAGTTTACAATATCCGTAACAAATATGAATTTTCGTTAAAAAAAAAAAAAAAACGACTAGATACATATACGGTGGTTTCATTTCTGTTGACAACCTAAATTCATCAACTCTTTTGGATCTATTGGAAATTTCAAATAAATTTTGCCTCGATGAACTATCCATATTTCTTGGACAGCATGTCATTAAGCATCACTTGGCTAATTTAAATTTTATAAGGCTTTACAATATCTGCCATCAGAAAAATTCTTTAACTGACCTGCAAACTAAGTGTGCGGACATTGCTGTGAAGTATCCAGATTTGGTATTCAAGTCTAATGACTTTGCGTTGTTTCCTGAAAAAGCATTAATTGATCTTATTGGGAATGATGAATTACATTTAAAAATGAGTGAGGGAAAAATTTGGGATTACCTTATCCAATGGGGAAGCGCTCAACTTGCACTAACATCAAAACCTGAAACGTGGACTGATGAATGCTTTGAAACATTAAAGGGCATTTTATCTGAAAGTTTAATACATATTAGGTATTATCAATTTTCTATTGATGATATTTTTGATAAGGTTCAACCTTATCATCGAATTCTGGAACCAGAAATTTGGGATGACATAGTTCGTCGATTGTCTGATCCGGGTATTTTTATATTTTTATATAAGTATTACAATCATTAATCACATCAATATAGCCATCACTGAAAATATTTTCGTCTTTATTTTATTCATCAGAAAGTCCCAGAAGTCCAACATCTCCTTTTCTCCCAATCAATCAATTTAATTCATCATCGAACATAATCACTGAAGAACATACCGCAGAAATTGCTTCCTGGATCGATAAACGAACCTCTCCATATAATGTGAACAACAATCCTTATGATTTTAACTTAATATTTCGTGCCAGCCATCATGGATTTTCTGCTAAAAGGTTCTACTCGCAGTGCAAAGAAATACCTAAGACGATAGTCATCATAAAAATTAAGGGAACAGATGAGATTGTAGGCGGTTTTAATCCCTTATCATGGTACAAACCAAATTCTCGAATGTTTGGTTTTGTAGAAACAAATGCCAGTTTCATATTTTCGTTGAAAAATGGCAGCATACGTGAATCCATTCTTAGTAGAGTCCGAAATACAACTTATGCAATCAATTATTCTCCTTACACTGAGCACAGAGGTATAGATTTTGGTGGCGGTGATTTGAAAATGAAGTTTGACCCTACATGTCGTTGCTGTTGCATACAAACTTCTTATGAAAATCCGATTAGGAGTACAAGAGATGATTTTGAAGTTGAAGATTACGAAGCCTTTCAAGTTTTGAGAAAAGGACCAGAGATTCCCAATCCAATGTAGAACATTCTTATACCCATAAAATAGAACCTACTTCGTGTCTTCACCTCTTATAGTATTTGCACTAGGGAGAACAAAGTCTGGTGATTCTAAGGAGTTGTAACTATATGAAAGTCAAATTTATATGTTTATCATAGCTGGAACGTTATTATAACAAGATTATCTAGAATGATTCTAGCGAGATTTGATTGTATTCCATTTATGACCAGTTCCCCGTTTATATCTTTAATACAATATTGCATAATTTGACAGACTTGTTATTGATTGAATTATCATTTGACCTTTAAAAATATATTGTATAATTATGCATGAAACTGTCTAAATTAACGTGCGAAGGAGTCGGAGCGCACATTAAAAAAATTTTCTGCACCTTAAGGATGAACGATATGTGGATTTTGCGTGCATATATTTTAAATCGTGGACGAAATGCGCACATTAAAAATTTTAAATTCATATACATGTTTTAAGCTTTATATATCTATATTATGTGGCTAATTGTCTAATTAACGTTTTAAAAACAGAATGGTTTAAATCAGTTTTATATTGCTTTGTCAATTATTGCAAATTCGAATCTTCTGCATTTTTTTACCTTTTGTAATACAAACTGATGAGTAAGAAATACAAAATTCACGATGACACTGAAGTTAAATTAACCAAATATATATAGTAATTTCAGCTTCATCCATCAACGCCATAATCAATGTCGCGGATCATAATGAAATCGAAAGAATTTCTATTTGACCTCCTGAAACTCATGCATGTTTATTATAAATTCTACCCCTAAACACTAATCCTAATCCTAAAAAAATGCTAAAAAAAAAAAAAAAATGCACCTCAAAAATTTGCATTTTTCGGTGATCTGTCTATTTGACACTATCATCCACTTTATTTTAATCTGATTTCATTTAAATCTGTCACAATCAACAATGTTTTAAAACATTTTATTAAATCAAGTTAAAATCATTTTTACCATCCCTAGTTAATAATCAAAGTAAAATTATTGAAATTAAATTATAAATTTAATACTTATTTTCGCGGTTGATGCTGAAATTTGTATCTATTTTGATACGAAAATTTAAAATTTTGGGGATGTTTTTTTCCGCTTTTTTTTTTAGGGTTGGGTTAGAATTGATAAATAAACTGAGTAAAATGGTCAGGACCCAAACCTTCGTGTAACCTAATTTGAGGCTATTTTCTATCTAACCCCTGTCTTGGTACCAAATTGCACTCTAATCCTAAAAACATAAAGAAAGCGAATTCTTCCTAAATAATTGGTCTTTTGATGGATAAAATGTTGTAGTTAATTGGCTTACAGAATAAAGATGCTATTATATCTGATATTTCTGTTTTAAATAAAAACCTAATATCTTTTTATATAAAGGCAAAAAAATTTTAGACATTAAGCATCCGAATTTCTAGCATATTTCGTATTTTTTACTATATGCGATCTGGGTTGATTAAGTGATATAATCGCTGATCGTCAAAAGCAATAGCAAATTAATTTTCGGGTAACCAGATAACCTGATAATTTATTAATGAGGTGCTAGATCAGTTCTCGCTTGTAAGTTACTTGGACTATTTGTTAACTACCATTTTTGCTTTCGTTCCTGGTTTCTAGCGCGACTGCGTCGCGCAGCTACCTTATTTGGTATGGTTTATGTTATTAACGATGACGTGAAGAAAAAGATTTAAGAAAAGCAACTGAATCTTCAGGAAGTATTATAGTTGAACTACATCAATTTATTCATAAAAATGGTTTTGAACACTTCAGCAGTTAACATTGATATTCAATAATGGGTTAACACTAGATTTTTTGTGATTCGTCTAAAAATTTATTTGTAGAAATTATAAGTAATTGAATTTAAAGAATTTAAGAAAAGGGTTTCCCTACTTTTTCAATAATCGATCGAAGATTTGCAAGTTCTAAATTCGCTAGAATTAATGCATTTTTCAGCTTTTCATTTGAGCTTTGCAATCCTGAAAATTTTGATTTTAGACTATAATTTCAAAGTTGAACTGTATTAAGTTAGGTATTGGACATATTAATAATGTTAAAATTTTTATACTTTTTATTTTCTTCTTGAAGAGTTTCTATTGTTTTACTGCGAGTTTTCGGCAACATCTTTTAAAAGATTAAAAAAAAAATCTCGGCCCAATATATAGTAGTGTCTGATTAACTTATATAGATTATAACATTGTAACGGGAATAGGATGAATGAAGGCACGTGTTTCGAGCATAACAATTCAAGGACAGATGAACGGAGCAGAAAATGATCTCACCTTAGAACTTGTACGATTAAATGGATACTATTTGATAGACTAATATTAAAATAATTGACAAAAGAGGACTTTCAGTAGCTTCGGGGACGACTAAATTGGTGGTCGTATGAATTTCCTACCATATATAACTGGACAAACCGAGTTGTTCGAATCATTTTAGGCGACCCAGTTTGTGATCGGTTAATAATTTTATAAGCGGAAGGGTAAACCAGGGCTTAAATTTACACGGGTCCAATCACTAACTATAGTAATAATAAGAGAAATATAAATCTAAAAAGCATTCATGATACATGAAATATTAGGGTCTGATACGATTTTGTGGAACTGTCATTAATATTAATTAGACTTAACGATCTCGATCGCGTGATAACAAAATAAACGTTTTCGTGACGAATTTAGGATGATTCCTTCGTAACGTGGAGAGTTTCGGTCTAACAATATATTTATTTTGTAAACAACTTAACAATCAAAATCTCAAAATACTCGATAGATGTGTTGTTATTTTAATTTAAGAAAAAATAAATATATTTAAACATTTATTTGGTGCAATATGTTTGAAAAATATTTCAACCGCAGCTTACAAAATTTTATTTTCTTTAACAAAAAGTGTTAACAAAAACTTAGTAAGAAATGTTTAGGCAATAACGATATGAATTTGTCCTTGAGCACATCCTAAATATGAATTATCTGGATTGTACACTATTTTTGTTTTAAAAACAAAAGAAAGATTATTATTAAGTTTCAACAATCTTCAATAATTTTGCAAATTATATCTTACCCTCTCCCTTAATAATTGAATTATTTAAAAAAGTAGGAAATGCGGGCAAAAGATTAGTGTTCTCGGTATATCTAATTTTGATATCAAAATTTCCATTAAAAGGACATGGGTGTCCATTTGAGATATTAAGCACTTCACAAAAGTCCAAAAAATCACTAGCAAATTCTATTCCATTGACAAGGGGAGTAATACGAAGTATTGCACCTTGGACGATGGGTACGGATGTTGTTGCGTTCAAAGTCGTAACATCAAAAGTGAAGTTTGAATTTTGTTCTTGTTTGAGAATGATCGGATCGGTAACATATATTGCATTAAATGTTATTGGATATTGACCTGGACATTGAGTGAATTGTGTATAGTTTTGAAAGTATGCTTTTAAAACGAGGAAAGATAGAAAAAAATGTATGAATAAATAATATGCCATTTGAGAATTAAAACCTGTTTTAAATGATATCTTTTATTTAATGTAGTTATATGCATAAAAAATTAAAAAAATTCAAAGTTTAAGCAAATACCTGAAAAAAAACTCCAATATTAAAAATGTGATTGCTTAAAAGAGATATGTTGTAAGCGGGAACGGAGTTTAAGTGGATTTGAAATTCCTTTATAAAATCATGATTTTGGGGTAGGAATTTTCTACATAATAAAAAATTATAAATCACATACATTACATATCGATATCACATAAAAATAATATTGATTTACCTTTCGAGGCTCGGACCGAATTATGCTTAATTTAGGTCAAAATTCGTAATTTATCCCTGCGCGTTATTTCGCAGTTTTACGTTAAGCTATTTGTTACGCTTGATACTTTAGACCATGACGCACGGTAAATCCGTTCCTACTTACAACATAGAGAAATAACAATCCTATTTAAGCTAGAGAGATCTTTGCGCTTTTTCAGAATTTCATTATAGAAACTTAATGCAAATGCATAATCTTGATCTAAATCCGTAAGTCATTTATAAACGACGGAAATTTAATCCCGTAAAGGTAAAATCTATAGGCATATAAATTACGACTTTTTCGCATTGCTAATATTTCGAAATCTTTTGCCAATACTATTTTATTGTAATATGTCTATATTGAGATGGCGGATTATTTATTTATTCATTCTATTAATCTTTCTTAATAAATCATATGCATATAATGTTGTAGTTCAACGTATATTTGGTCAACCTGATTATTTTAATTTATATAACGTTGATTCGTATGATAGTGGTACTCTGTTAATTGGTGTGAATAGAGAAAGCAGTGCTTCACTTTATTATACTGAAATACATGTCATCTTCACAGATGGTACAAACACTACAATTAATCTCCTTAATCTTTTTATCCCCAAATATACTACTATTTTTCAATTTAATGCCTTGGAGCCATCTTTTATTTTCCTCATATCAATCGATCAGCAAGTTAAATATAGTTGGATAGTTATCGATTGGTCAGGGAATATTTTGTCCAAGTACGTTGTTATATTGTTTGAATACTTTGCGTGCACAAGCGATGCTATTTTGAAACAAGTCATAAATTCTAATATACGTAAAATACTACTTAAGTAACATGCCATTCGAACCATTTGGCCTTGCATTTGAAATAAGTGTCATAACAAATATAAATCCAGAAACTGGGTTTTTGGTAGTAAATATAAATCAAGATCCTGTAGTTGGATTAAAATGGGCAAAATACACTTCTCCGTAAGCCATATTTATTTGATTTTTTATTATTAAATCTCAAAATAATATTGATTTTATTTTATAAACAGTTCTAAATTAACGAATAATGACACTATTTCAAAGATTTCAGAAGGAAATATCCCTTTTCCATCAAATGCTATTCCATATTCATACGGAACAACTCTTCGTGCTTTCACATTATTTCAAAAGGTGGATGGTGGTTATGGTATAGCGTACTGCTTAGCATATACGATGAACTATTCAAGTCATTATAATTACAATTTTACTGATGTCACTCCTTATATTACGGTGAGCGTGGCATTTATCCAAAACACTAATGCAGTCGAAGTGATTGGGCCTTTTTTGATCTATACGACGAGAAATGTTTCCAATATAGTATTTCTAGATTCTTGCCAGTCGAGATACGACTCTCGAGGAAATGACTGTTTAATTTCTGAATTAACTGCAAGGACCCCCAACTTACCAGCTCCTGGTGTAATGAGAATAACATTTCAATCAACTGGATCAGTGATAAACATAACACCAATACCAATAAATAATGCACCAACTTCTTTGAATTAATCTTTGATAACTTTTTATAAATACTTTTCAATGCATTATGGTGGTGCCATTTTTATTAAATATTCCCTTATTACCAATGAGACAGTTGAAGTCTTAGGTTACTACGGCAATGATCCTTTAACTTCATTTACACAGTGGGATATTCCAGAAACTTTAACGATAATGAATACTAACTTTGTGCTTGCCCATCTTCCGTCTGGTCTAATGCGAAATAATACATTCTGGCTAGCTGCGAAAGATATTAATAAAAATTGGTTGATTTTGAATTCAGATATACCACAATATCTTAAAGATGGTTAGTATTATTATTATTATTATTTACATGCGTATTACCATAAGCCTATTCCTAATCGTATTTTTAATATAATTATACTTTTTGAAAAGTTGGTTTTCAAAACGTCTTGATCACATCATCATATCCAGGAATAAATCAAAAATTAAATCTTCGGTTTAAAAATTTTCTAAACATTACTTATAGAAATCCTATTTCTCAGTCATCGGAAAACGTTTCCATTTATCAAATCTACAATAATGATACTAAACAATTACAATTGAGACAAACTTTTTCAGGGTTATCCAATTGCCTGATTCTTAATGATAACATTACGATCAGTTGTCCAATTTTGCCGAGTACTTTTAATGTTCCCACAGCTTCCTATATGATAGTCGTAGACAATGGGTTCGTTCAAGACTCAGGTTTGCAAGAACAAATACGTGGTATTGGAAATGGATTGTGGACTGTTCAAACAGAGTCTCGTGAGTCAATATAAAATTTTATTTTGCAATCTGTTATTGCATTAGCATTTTTTTTTCTTAATTTCCATTAATTATTTAGGAGACTCACCATATATTTATAGCGGTATGCGTGGCATATTTTTTGCATCAAATATAATATAGCTGTTGGATAAAATTATTTTAGGATGACAAAACCTGGTCTTATCTTAATGATGAGGTATCTAGTTTTAGTCAACGACTATGTATAATCGTTTGGCAAAAAAAAAAAAAAAATTTTTTTTTGTGATCACTTTTTACTTCAAATTTATTAGAACCAATTACTGGAACTCTACGTCTATCAGAAGATGGAACCATTTATTATAATAATTTAACATCTAATCAAAAATCATTATTTCTCATGAGTTTACGTGATGAGCTTGCTTCAAGTATTCCTACCGATTCATCAAGGCTGTTATTTTCTGGACGTACTAATATCGATCTAACAACTCCAGCTCAACAAATATTGTTCGAATTAATAATTTCTGATACAAAAGATTTATTCCAACCAAATTCCGACCAAATAAGGACTGATTTTAATGCATTGATTGAGAATAAATATATTACTATACTTTCAACTCTACCTCACACCACCTATATTGACGATAAACACAAATTTGAATCAATACGTAAGTATTTTGATTGCTCTATTTGGTAATTTAGCATATTTTACAAAAAATTTATTTAATTTTTTAGCAAATTTGTTGAATGAATTATTGAATCACAAGCATTGGATTATTGGTGTTGGGATTGTGTCAATCTTTCTGATTATTGTATATTTCTTAGCACGTAAGAGACATGATAAAATAAAGACAGAATAAATGTCTTCACTTAAAAAAGTTTCCACCAATTACAACATGTCCACACAAAAAAAAATGCCAATTAAAAGATGATTGTGTAAAATTGCAAGATGATGATTTTTCAGCGAAACAGGTATAATATTAATCAAAATACTTTACTAGTTAAATTTCGGAAATATTAACTAATTTATAAACCATTTTAGTGCCGTGCATCACTTCTTTTCACATCATGTTTAAGCTTATTTCATCTGTTTTTGAACATTCTGTTTATTATGGAAAATGCGAAAGATGTTTCATATCTTTATCTTCCAAGGTTTTTATAATTTTTTTGTATACTTGATTATATAAACTTTTAATCCAGTTTAATAATTTATTGCTTTTATCTTAATAATATTTCTAGTATTACCTTTTTCAGTATTGGCATTGGCTTGGATACAATATTTGCATTTGCAATATTTACTAGAAAATTTTCGAATTATTATTTTAATGAATGGCTTATTTTAAATCTTAAATGGGCTGCTTTATTTACCTTGCTATCTAGTGCTGATATTGAAGTTTTACTTCTATTAAATTCTCATCTTGGAGGGTTTGAAATATTTAATGCCCCATTTACAAAAGAGGCAAGGGATTACATCTTTTGGTGCAAGGTTTCAACTATTTTTATTAATAGTATTCCATGGTTGATTATTCAAGTAAGTTTGTTGAATTTTTTAACTACATTTTTTTATTTGTTCTCACATTATATGTATTTATTTATTTTATTGGTCTTGAATAAGGTGCTATATCGTTTAAGTATAATTACATATCAAATTATCCCTTTTATTAATCTTGTAATAAGTTGTATTTCCTTAGCAACTTATATTCTTATAAAAGTATATAGATGTCTTTATGATTTCAGGACTTATAATAAAGGATCGGATGAAGATGAAAAAATTAGTGAAGTAAATAATGAAGAAATGATTAATTCCAACCATGAAATAAATTATGTGGAAGATAATGATAGTCAAAATGTAGGAGTAAACAGTACTAATAAAGAGGAAAAAATAGATGATACAAATAGTGGACATATAAATAATGACATACATGAACTTAGTGAGACAATAGAAGCAACTAAACGTAAGTAGAATTTTATCATTAAAAATTCTGTGTTGATTAGCTTCGCATTTATTAATTATATATTTATACTTGTGCATACAGAAGATCTTGAAGAAAATCAAGGTATTGTTTTTAATTTTTAATTTCAATAGTTAATAACAAAAGAAAAATTACTTAATATGTGAATAATCTTTAGATAAACATGATACAATTAAACCTTTAGATGATTTACAAGTTTTTAAATCGAATGGTTTTTATTATTTTTTATATTGAATTATATGCATATTATATCTTATATTATAATTTTAAAATATTTTATCTTTATTGTACAGGTGATTATACTAGTGAAACAAGTATCTTTTTAAATAAAAATTCCAAAGAATGAACCTTATTATCGTCTATTAAGCTCGTTGCAGTTGTAATCAGATTTAGTTTGATTGTTACTAATACTAATGAGAAGTAGAGTAGCTAAGTTAATAAAAACAGTAATGTTGAACCTTATTTATTATGTCCTTAGGGTTGTTATTGGAGTACTCCAGACTATATAAAACACAAACTACGCCAGTTTTAAACTGGAGTGATTTATATGTTATGTTATAGTTTGGAGTACTCCGTGGTTAAATTACGTGAATCATAATAGTTAACTTATTGATTGGAAGTTAGTAGTGCGTAACGTGTCATGGACGCAAAGGTTGCTTAAGCGCTGATAGATCCAATGATCTCATCTATTTTGTCCATAGTTTACTAGATGTATTAGTGTAAAGGAATTTATTTATTATCACCTCTAGTTACTCGATCAACTAAAATAAAATCAAATATTCAAGTTGACCCAATATTAAATCAAATGACAGAATCTTCAATAATTATTGTAAGAAATCAAAATTTTATCTAAATAAAGAATTAAACATAAATTTAAGCAAAAAATTGTAATTTAAATAATTGGTTAATATATTGAACACTTATGACATTTATTAATTTTATTAATGTAATATATTATAATCAAAATAGTATTAAGATTTCTTCATGGTTTTGACAAGTAGAATAATTATTCATTGCTTCTTAGCCTTATAAGTATGAGAAAAACACAATAGCTAGTTGCAATAATAAGAATCCAAATCATTCAATTTTTATATTTACAGGATTTCAAGGTAGGATTCTAAGAATGCAAGATTTTGTATTTACTAAAAGATATAAAAAATGCATAATTTTAATTTTAATTTTTTTCTGCAAATGAATGTCTACAAGAATTTTGAAATTTTTCAAATTTTCAAATTGAATTTATTTGTAAAGTAAAATTATTTACTATAATTATTAGATTGCAATTACTAAGAAAGAATCTTAGAAAAGTTAAGGTATTTGCTAAAGTATAATTGTTATGTTTTCTTTAAAGGTAATAAAATTTCTGCTAATTTAGCTAATTAGTTTTTTGTTTTTTTTATTCTTAATGTTTAATTCTTTTTTAACATCTAATTTTGATAAATTTGGATTATATTTTGAATATTTACCTTTTAAGATTTTATACAAATTATAAAAAAATTAAGATAATTTTTTGCAGTTGGATGATCTATTAGACAATGTTTTTAGTATCTTTTTATTATTTCTTTATATTATTTAGAAATATAATTTAGAATTAATAAATATAACTAATTGCAATATATTTTAATTGTTAGTTGTCAAAAAATTCTTTCTACTAATTTTAATTTTACAAAAGTGAAAAAAGAATACATTAAAGTTTACTCAAAAATTACTTTAAGAAACAGATTTTTTTGTTACTAAAGAAAAAGAAAGAAAACTTAGAAACAGCATAAGCTTATTAAAACAACTTTTTAGAAAAGTTGTTTATTGAAAATATTAAAAAGTTTTTTCAAAAATTTTTAGAAAATTTTTCAAAAAAATTAAAAACTAGTTGTAATCCTAAAAAGCTAATCAATTGATATATAAATAAACTATAAAATAAACAATCATATAAGTTAGAATAAACAAATAGGTAAACAAAGCAATATGTATTCAAGCATTTAACAAATACAGAATATAATTAGTTAAATAAATATTATAAACAAGAGCATATAAGTTATTAGATTAGTAATTATTTTAGAAGTTTCTAGAATAAAGTTAAATATAAGTTAAACAAATAACTAATAACAAAATTAACAATGACAGAAATTAAAGATTTATATAATCTAAACTAAAAAACAATAGCAGAAAAGTATATTTACTTAAACAAACAAAAAGAGCATATGGTAAAAATAGATATAGCTATAATAAACTTTTTAGGTGTAAATAATCCAATATAGGTATATATTATAAGAGTCTTAGTAGATAAATATAGAGAAGTGTGCTGAAATATTACTAAGAAAAAAATTACTATAGTGCTAAAGCCTATACTCAATAGTTACATGAAGTGTTTCAAATTTTTAAATGCCTATAACTTTTTATTTAAGAGGTTTTTAAAAAAATCCACCTGGTAATTTTATAGAACTATATTAGCTTTACATATGTACCAAATATCTTTTCAAAATCTCATTACTGTAAAGAGTTGATGCTTTTTGAAAATTGAAACTTTATATATAAATTTATAAATTTATATATAAAATTTTAATTTTCAAAAAGCATCAATACTTTATAGTGATAAGATTTTAAAAAGATATTTGGTACATATGTAGAGCTGATATAGCTCTATAAAATAACTAGGTGGATTTTTTTAAAACCTCTTAGATAAAAAGTTATAGTCATTTAAAAATTCGAAACACTTTATGTAATTGTTGAGTATAGGCTTTCAGTATCATATAATAGAAAAAAGTTTTTAATTAATCAAGAAAAAAAAAAAAAAAAAACAAAATAGTATGCAAAATATAACATATATTAGTAAAGAAAAAATATAAAATATAGAAGCAAAAATGAAGCTTGAACTATCAATATTATAGCTAGTAAGTTAAGAGAATTGTATAAAAAAAAAGAAATTAATAACCTGAACAAGAAAAAGAAAAAAAATTAAACAACAGAGCAGCAAAAAATAAATCTTAGCAAAACAAAAACAAAATAGAGCTAAAAGCATCAGTAATATAGTAATAGTTCAAGAAAGCAATCTTAAATGAAGGCATTTAGAAGAAAAATAGAAATAATAAATAAAAAAAGAAATAATAAAGCTAATAAATAAACAGAATTTTTCTAAATAAAACAGAAAAAGAAATACTCAAGAATTCTGATAAAGCAAATATTGAAAATAAAATAGTTCTATTAAAGGTAAAGAATACAGTTATTGGCAAAAGTAATACCTGTTTTTGATTTTATGACCAATATTCAAATAAATATATATTGCTTATCTCTTTATAGCAATTTGTAGGCCAAATCTTTTTTTCTCTTTTTTTGACTTCTCACAAAGTACTCACAAAAAAATCCTAAGTATAATAAGCATGACTGGCACTTCAATAACAAACAAAAACAAATGAGAAATTTTGGCTTATATTAAATATTTAAGCATCCAGCAAATTGTACAGAAAATAGAACATAACCTTACTACAATCTGAAGGTTTCTTATCAAGTATCAGAGAACCAAGAATATATCAAATTTGCCAAGATCTGAAAGACTCTGTGCCCTTAATAATCAAAAAATGCTTTAGTAGAAGCAGCTCTGAAAATAAGATGCAAGCCTTTGTATGATCTGATCAATGATTTAAAGCTTGAGTGCAGTTTAAGAACTGCTTTTCAAGCTATACAAAGTTTGGTGTTCAGTTTTATATAGCAGCAAAAAAGCCATTCATTAAGGAACATAAAATGAAGGAATAGTTTGAATAGTGTCAACAAAACATATCAAAAAGCATTTATAATTGGTAACATGTAATTTTTTTCTAATAAAACATTTGTCGAGCTTGGTAAACAATTATATCAAATTAGGGTATAGTGTCTCAAAGGTAAAAGGCACAAAAATGTGTGTTTAATACTAAGTTTTAAGAATAGTAAGTAGTTAGTAATGGTGTGAAGTTGTTTTGTTAATAGGATCAAAAGTTTCCTTGTTTTTTTTAATAACTATAAATCATCCAAAGAAAAAATTAATAAAAACATATATATTAAACTTTTAAAGGTTAAACCACATCTTATTAATGTTTATCCAGGAAAAATTATTGAACAAGCAACTGAAAACAAACCAGCATCTAAATTCAATTATATGTATCTAATTAAAACCTTAGCTGGCCAACGGCCCAAATTTCTCACAGATTTTATTTATGAAAATAACCCCTCTACAAACCAATCCTTTGCTATTCCATTCGAACTAATTCACTCTACTCTCATTGCACTTCTCAAAGAATTTACCACTACACTCTTTACTCATCTCAATTATCCAAA